ACCCTGTGAATCATGCCCAGATTCTGCYGGCATAGAGAGAATTTAGCCTCTCAACTTCCCCATTTCCCCTGTTTTGTGCAGGATTTTTTTTTAAGGAGCAGTGGAAGGGCTGTTGTGCTGCCACAGCCCCAGTGGCTCCCCATGGATGACTGGAACAGCCGCCCACTAAAGGCAGCTCCGCTGTGGAGGATGGGCTGCGGAGTGGCTCAGCTGTTGCTATAACAACAGTACCTCTGTCTCATTTCTTTTGAAAAATGAATTGCTGCTGGTGAGATGAAGCAGAGCAGCTCCTCCTCACAGATGAAAGCCCTGCCRACAGCCTCCACACACTCTTGTTTATCTGTTGGGTCTGTCACAGCATGTCCGAGCAGTTGTGCCGAGGATTTCAGGATGGGCTGGATTAGACGCTCGTGTCGATGTGTGTTTGCGTGCACGGCCTCTGTCCCCCTGCCTCTCCTCCAATCGAAAGTCATTTAAAAAGTCAACCTGCCAAAGTCTGACCTTTTCTCGCTCTGCAACTGGAGTTTCTCCAAAGGCATATAAAGAATCGAGTGTCCTACTTCACCTTCCTCTGCTTTGGGGTAGAAAACTGCTGTGAAATGAAGATCCATCAGCCAAACATTTTGTGTCAATAAAGCAAAAGGCTTATGAAGCTGGCAAGGGTGTTGTTTTATTTTAATATTTTCCTTTGATTTTGATATTTTCCTTTTATTTTTATTTTATGCGTCAACTGTCTTCTGCTCCTAGGCAGAAATCTCTCAGCTCCTGTGAATATCATCACGATGCATGCTGTAAAACGCAAACAGATATGTACTTGTACTAAGAAGGAGAGGGAGGGTACWTTACAAGAGACTATTTTACTTCAGRAAATGTGTTTATAGAGGGAAGGGGACGTGCTGGGGTTTTAGTCTAAGATGCCRTGGAATCCTGATGGTGGTAAATTGCCAATTTATGGTCGGTGTAGGATATCCAAACCATCCAAGTGTTAAGTGATTAGGAATGAAATCAAGAYATGAAAATGAAAGATTTAATTGAAATAATTTGATAAGAATATTTCTGTGTTGTACCTCAAAAAAGGAGATGCATCTATCGTTATGGCTCCCAACTCCCCCAAAATGCTGGAGTCAAGGTGCTTCCCCACTTGCAAAGCCTGTACCAGCATGTTGCCTTCAAACAAACCTTTCATGTTAAGTTTCTATCTACTTGCAGTTTTTCAATGAGCAAACAAAGAAAATAAAAAGATTAGTTGTCAGTTAACCCCCCCAAATCCTAAAGTCTCTGAAGGAAAATAATGTGGAGGTTCAAACTTAGAATAGCTTTAATTTAATTTCTTCTTGCAGCAAGGCACAACTTCTGTATGTTTCATATTTGATGGAAAATAGTTTCCATGTCAAGCTGCTTTTTGTWGTAATGCATAATAAACATGATTATTAATATTTATGTACTGGGCCAGCTTTTACTTTCACTAAAGTCACTATATATTTGTACAGGGAGACATCCAAGTTCCTGCAATGGTAAAACTTTGGGAACTGATGTTTGCAGGGCTGGTTATTTGCCAGTAGATTTGATCGTTTTGGTAAACATTCATATACAAATAAGGTGATAGATTCAGGATAAAATAGTAAATGTTGTARAACCTAAAAGTGTGAAACCATGTGAAAGCATACTACTCTTACCAATATTTTGTAAAGGTTTCATTCAAATTTGCAAAATGTATGGAGTCAGCTCACTTGTATTCCTCAGGAGATAATCGCTCTCACTACTCCCTGTCTTGTCATTAAGACAAGCTTCATTTGSATCTTTTCCTTATAGGAACTTTACTTCATGGCCAGAAGCCTGCCAYCAGGTCCTGTTCTTACTTTAGCCCAGCATTTGGTCAATATGAAGGGCATTGGTCCACGACACATTTTGAACATTTCTTCAAATCCTGTTTTTGCCTGTGCATGTCCATTGAGCTTGGTCTTGAGTCACTTGTTTCTTGGTGRATGTTTCTGATATGGCAATAGTGGCTTTGCAGTGAGATGGCTTAGGAGCTGAAATGGGTGATTTTAGCTGTTAATTGTGTGAATGACCCATTWGGGGCAATATTTAAATATGCTGTTTTAACCCACTGTATCAACTGGCCAGCTGCACTTGAGGCCAGCTCATGCTCTTTTTTTTTTCTTGCCCTGGAGCTGTGCCGCTGTGCTTGTGAAGCAGTACCATTACCACATCTGTACCATCCTTTCCTGTCTCCAGGGTCTGATCTAGGGTTATTTAAAGATCAGTGGAACAAACTCAGCTGTAGGATTCTGCAGCATGGCAGATMCACTGCTCAAAAAGCCGCAGGGACCTGTAATGCCACACACTGGTGTTCAGCTTAACATGGGTTTTTAGGGGAGGGAGGCAGCAGAGGTGAGAGCCATTCTATTAGTCCCCCTGTGAGATCTGGTTTTGATCCTTCACACTAGTTCWGAGTGTTGACTTCCTTTCCACATGGCTGCTAACTGGTGCAGATTGAGGCAATTACCACCTCTGGGCAAGCACCACTTGCTAGCAGAGCTCTGCTGCTGTGGCACAGAGAGTTGAGAAGGTGATGCTCTCCYGCAGGGCTCTGTGCTCTGCAGCCTGGCAGGTTCCTGGAGATTTTGGCTGATAAACCTGGCTRTCTCTATCTAGAGAGAGTGGCACAGTGTGCATTCCCACCTGCATTCCCAGGCAACTGCTGCTGCGGTTGGGAGAGGAGTGAGAACACAGCGGGGAGGCTCAAAACATGCTCAAAGGCTTCCTGACCCCCACATTGCTGAGGGCTGGTTCCCCATCACAACCTGCAGCACAGGGAGAGGAATTTTTTGGTGCAAACAACTGGCTGTGCTGTTCCCTCATCCCCAGAAACTGCGGAGCAGAGAGACTCAGGGACAGCTGCTGATGAGCTGTGCAGGCATAAATTCACAGAATGGTCTAGGTTGGAAGGAACCTTAAAAAGCTTCTCATTCCAACCCCCCTTGCCATGGCAGGGATACCTCCCACTAGGCCAGGTTGCTCAGAGCCTCATCCAGCCTGGCYTYGAACACTTTCAGGGAAGGTGCATCCATAGCTTATCTGGGCAACCTGTTCCAGTGTCCCACSATCCTYGCAGGAAAGAAWTTCTTCTTAATATCTGATCTAAGTCCACTCACAGTCAGTTTGAAGCCATTCCCCCTTMTCCTATCAYTAGGAGARCTAGAAAGGGACTAGAAAGTCCCTCTCCAGCTCTCTTGTAGCCCCTTTGGGTACTGGAAGGTGCTAYAAAGGTCTGCCCRGGACTTTCTRTTCTCCAAGATGAACATCCRCAACTCAGATRAACATCCACAACTCTCCAAATTCAGGGKTTTAAGACCARACACCAGAGGASAAGACCAGCCATGTGGTCATGGAGCAGCTGGCTTKTGTGGCACYGCAGAAGCCAAGAGGTGCAGGAATTTCAGTCTGTGGGAGGCTTGGCACACACACGCTTTGTGCGGGGCAGAAGAGGCAGCAAAGTCTCAGTCACTAATGCCAACAGTGACCCACTGGGGACTCTTATTCACATGKTAATTGTTTTCCCACATAAAAAAGCTGTTCTGCTCCAGAGCAAATCAAGTAATTGATGGTCTGCTGAGACTCAGCCTCGCCTTTCTGCTTGGCTCTGTGCAGAAGAGTAGCTTCACCAGCAGCTTGGTGTCCAATGCATGCTCAGCTGTGGCTGCAGCAATGCCTGTGCTGGCCTCATCCTCTGCATTGTGTGCTGAAAGAGGCYTGAGGGGTAGGAGAAGGACACAACCTTCCAAAACCTGGGCAAGATACAGATTTGCTTGCCCATTTTACATGTGAGATGAAAGGGGAACCAGCSCTCCGGGATAGGAGTAATAAATGGGATCTGGATTGTGAGAAGAAAGAAGGTTGAGGACCTTTAGGTTAGGGAAGGGGTGGGAGCTGCGTGTCTGGGACTTTCTTACCAGTAAAAATACTTTAAAAAATTGATAAAATCTTTCAGTATTTTGTCTTCTATTGTTCTAGTATCAAGGATGCAAGTGTGTTCTGAAGGCGTTTGCTAGAGCTGTGACCTCTTTGCTTCCTCCCCTCCCCACTATTGTTTTTTRCCTTAGCTGAAAAGGGATGCTTTTTTTAGCCTGGTACATAAGTGAAAGACTTAACTTGGGTGTGAGTGGGGAGCACTGTAGCTTGTTGCAGCTCTTTGCTATGCTCCTTTAATCTGACTTAAAGCTGATGTTAATATGTATTTTTTATAAAATTTTTATATTCTGATTTATTTGCTTTCCTGGAGATTTGTCTTGATACTATTTTTGTTAGCTATTTATGTTTTATGTTAGCTACTAGCACACAGCTGCTTTCCTTTTTTTCATTGATTGAGTTAACATTATGAAAAGTGCCTTCTATTTTTTAGGATAGATATCTTTCTTTCCTTCCTTAAAAGTGATTCTCAGTATGTTTTATAGCCAAGAACAGAGGGCTAATCAAATGAAATTATGTTAATTTTTTTTTGTTGACACCACATTTCAATGTCAATCAATTGTATAGCAGTTATTTTTCAAGAAGTTTCTAGAAACTTCCAACAAAAAAAAAAATAGAGTCATTAGCAAATTTTAATGATTCTTTTGTTTGTTTTTTTGGTCCACTTTAAGAGTCCTCATTGTGTTAGGTACACAGTTTAAATCTCATCCCTATATTAGGYACCAAAAAGTTGAATTAGTCAACTTGCTCCCTAAATTTCTGGTAGCTTGGAAAGCACAACACTATTTTACAGTTCTGCTTTCCTAGTCAAGGGTCTGGTTTGGGGCRGGGGAAGGTGTTTTGTTGTTCAAGTTTCTTTAGACTGTCTTTTCAAATKGATGAAGGCATAAGAATGAAATCAGAGAAAGTTCCTAATCAGTTTTAAAACTTATTGTCMCTGGCTTGATGAGCAGTATCTTGTCACAGTGCTCAAGAGCACTTCTTTTGCATCATGGTTAATTTTTTTCTTTCCTTTTGTTTYATTTAAGCTTCAAGAGACAGTCAAAAGGAAATTGGAAGGCGCACGTTCACCTCTCAATGGAGAGCAGCAGAACGGAGTTTGCGATGGGAACTTTTCTCCAACCAGCAAGCGTACACGGAAGGACGTACCAGGCATTGAGGCAATCAACAGCTTGCCCAATAATTTGCCTTTGCCTGCTGTTTCTCCTCTTCACCAGCTTGACATGAAAGCTCCTCTGCCCCTGCAGAACAGTGGAACTCACGGTGGTGGTCTAGAAGACTTGGGTGAAAACGGTGGGCTTTCTGAGATAAAGCTCCCTGTCAATGGCTGCAACGAGCTGGATGATAGTTTTAACATGCTGCAGAACAAGGAGCTAAAACAAGAGACTTTGGATGACTCCAACTGCATAGACACTTCTGAAACATCTCTTTCGAATCAGAACAAGCTCTTCTCGGACATTAACCTAAATGATCAGGAGTGGCAGGAGCTCATAGATGAGCTGGCGAACACTGTCCCAGAAGATGATATACAGGATTTGTTCAATGAAGACTTTGAAGAGAAGAAGGAGCCYGAGTTTCCCAGGCCTGCCACAGAGACTCAGGAGAGTGCAAGYGTGAAAAGCGATCCATCCCATTCTCCATTTGCTCACGTCCCACTGGGCTCTCCCCAGGTGAGACCRTCTTCCTCCGGTCCTCCATTTTCCAACGTCTCCACGGCCTCCAGCATCGCTTCTGCATCCAGCGCCCCTCCAGCCCCAGTCTCTGCYGGGTCACCAGCAAACTGTGTTGTCCAGTCCCCTCAGACTCCCAGCCAAGCCCACACTCCCAGCCAGACGCAGGCACGCTCTGGAAACGGCTTCCTGCTGAACCCGGCACCCGCTGTGGCAGGGTCAGGGCCCGGCTCGGTGACCCTGCCGAGCGCTGACCTGTCCCCAGCTGAGCAGCTGAAGCAGATGGCAGCCCAGCAGCAGCAAAGAGCCAAGCTCATGCAGCAAAAGCAGCAGCAGCAGCATCCAAATCAGCCCTCAAGCTGGTCACCGGTGGGACCCCCATCTAGTCCCTACGGAGGACCCTTCAGCGCAGACAAACCAAATAGTCCAATGATGTATCCTCAAGCCTTTAACAACCAAAACCCAATAGTGCCTCCTATGGCAAATAATCCCCAGAAGACCGCAATTAATAACTACCTCCCTCAAAATCACATGAACATGATCAGTCAGCAGCCAAATAACCTGGTCACAAACCCCTTGAGCAAACAGCCCAATATGCTTTCTTATGGCAACACCAAGCCCCTGACCCATTTCAATGCTGAGCTGAGTCAGAGGATGACCCCACCGATGGCAAATCCCGGGAAGAACCCCATGATGCCATACATCCAGCAGCAGCAGCAGTCCCAGCAGCCGCAGATGCCGGCTCAGATGGCGCACCTGAGCGAGGAGCAGAAACGCATGCTCATCATGAAGCAGAAAGGAATGATGAATCAGCCCATGGCGTATGCAACACTCCCTGCCCTTGGTCAGGTAAGGTGAGCGCACAACACGTGGGCAACAAAAGGAGATCGATACAAAGGCTTAGTATGTCTTTGTTCACTCTCCTCTACTCACCTCCTCTTTCTCCTGGAAAGCATAGAATGTCATGGCAAATGCTTCTTGGGTGTTTCATGTGGTATTGGAGCTTGATTATTTTGAGAAACAACTGAAATTATGTTGCATAATGCTTTAGACCTATTGTTAATTCTGCTCTTTCCMKTCAGTGCTTAGGGCAACTCTARGAAGTTTTGGGTCAGAAGTCACTCYTCTTTGGAGCGTTTGTTTCTCTTTTTTTCATAATTCAAGACTTGATGGTTGTGGATCCCAAACCACTGCACGGTTTCTTTTCCAGAGTGCAGTTAGCATTGTAACAAATGAATGGAGTGGTTGGTTCCTTCTTCCTGGGGTAGAGATCAAGCCAGCTTTAAACAGCATTTTTTGGCATTTTGGCTCTGGGAACAAAGAAAGAACATTTTGGGTGCTGAGTGCCTTTGGTTTCAGCTGGAAAAAGTAGGAATGCTTTTAGTGGTCCTTGAACCATGATGATGAGATGGTTTATTCTGGGACTTTCAAGCAGTGTTTAGCAACTCCGCAAGTATTTTGTCTTTCAGCAAGAGGCTAAAGTCATGTTTGCTTCCGTGCCTTGGTATCACTGTCTCACCTGTATTCCATGCTAAGCTCTGGTGCAGCAGTTGCCAGGCTTGGGGAATGTAATGAGTTAATAACCAATTTGAATATTGGTTACAGCAATGCCCCRTCGCCTCCTGGGTCAGCAGGGTATTCCTACTTGCGCAGACCCTGTAAAGATCTGCCACTGGTGTCATGGAAATGTTTAAGAGCAAATTTTCTAAATGTTGATTTGAGAGTTTAAAAATGGACTAAAGTTAATAATCAATTCCTAAAGTAGGTGATGCCTTCACAGAAGTTATGTGCCACCAAAACATGTCAGGAATTCTGATAAACACTAATRGAATTATGGGTTGATCTTTTTAGCATGACAACTTTTCACCAAATTAGCTGTTTCCACGTTCCAACAAGGAATACTTCATTCTGTGCATGGTTTAACTGTGACTCACACTGTAATGCRTGAAAATATACAAATATACAGCAAAATTTGTCATTCTTTCAGCTTGTGGAGTTTGGGAATCTACCAGTAAGGAGGAGTAGGCGCTTTACCAGAGCACATGAGCACATCACATATTATTTAAAATTAATTGCAAAACAAAAAGAAGTGTTTACCTGCCTCCTGGTTTTGGTTCAGGATGTGTGGTTGACAGCTCAGAGGTTCATATTTTTGTATTAATTCTGCTTGCCTATTGCATTAKACATAGCTGATCTAAAGCTTTTTGGAAAGGCTTATCTAGAGAAATACTACATGGAACTTGGAACATTATTTCTAGAGAAATAATGACGTGKAACTCAGACTGTAATTGGAGCTGCAGATTTGTACGTTTGTAACTGAGAGGCAGAGGATGCTTGGTCATGCTGCCTAATGCTTTATCTTTTCCTTCTTTTGCTTTTGTTTAATCTCTTGAACTCAAAGACCAATCAAACAGTTGACAGGGTAAACTGCCTGTGTGAAAGAGTTAATGCAATCTCCTCCATTTCATAAGTCGAGAAATTCATGTTAATATCTCACTGCAATTCCCCAATATGAACAGGTAGCCAAGGTTTTAGTTATCTAATCTCAGTTCATTTTTTTTTAAATGTAAGAAAAACTAGATATTTGGATGGTAGACATTCTTTCATACACAAGTCCAGATATTAATTTCTGTGAGATATAAACAAGAAACTTAAGGGAGAGCCATACTTTGTTACATATTATGTGCAAATCACATTATTAATCCATATGGGATGAAGGACTTCTGGCTTTTGTGTAGGCATCAAAAGGTTCCCTTACTACTTGTGGAACCCACTTGCCTATGCTGGAGGGGCTTTGTTTGGTCGGTGAGGTTGAAATAGTATTTCTTCCTTCTTATCTCCCTGCTTCACTGAAAAGCATTTTCCTGTGAAAAATTGGGAAGCTTATTATTGTGAGATGTGTGTGATGGAACTTACTGGTTTTGCAAAAATGGTAAAGATGTTGATATAGTTGAATTAAACACAGACTGATACAGATTAACTAATTCTACTACTTACTTCAGGATGCTGATGGTCACATATGAAAAATAAGAATATTGCACTCCTCAGTTTGAAACAAATGGCTGAATATAAAGTGAATGTATCTTTCTGTCAGTTTATAGTTTCTACTTTCATTATAKTTTTGGAGTTTGACAGAGATTTGTAAAAATRTAYGTTTGTGTTAARTKATGACAATGATTGAACAAATTATATTTAAGGGGAAAAARGRATATACCTAYTGCATCTCACAGTTAGCARTGACCATATATTTCTGTTAAGTCACTCTTACAAGGACRTRTTTGAGAACYAAAAGCTGATTTAGGGAACATCTGACATGTGCAYAAGTGCCTGATCTTATTTTCTGTGTTCTGCTGTAAAATTTAGGTGCGGTTTAGTTGTGTGCCTGTGTATGGACACTAATTAAACCCATTCCTATTTGTGCCTGAGGTACTTCTGTTGCAATAAGTAGCATTTTTACATGAACTCATTGCTTCAGTTGTTCAGTGTATTTTAGCAAGACACACCATTCTTTCAGTCCAGCTGGGATCTTGCAAATGCTCTGTGGAGGTCAGCTGCCCGTGACTGTCCTATTAATGTGTCAGTGCTCTGGGTTTGTGTCCTGGACATGCTGAGCATCACTTGTAAATGCACTGCTCTTGTGAAGAGAGGAAGCCTTTCTTGTATGTGTGTCCCTGGTTAGACAGGCAGAGTGCTAAATTAGCAATCTAGCTAGCAGAACTAGTCTCCAACAGAAGTGAGATTTCTCTAAATGTTCTCTGCACTGTTGTTTTTTGAGATTCTTCCTGTCAGATGTGTTAGTTCTTTGCTTTTCTGTAGACATTCAGGACTGGTACTGCCACTGCAGTTGTAACCCTCAATACACTGATGCTGAACGACCCCTGTGCTCTGAACCATTAAGTCCTGTTTCTTATTCTATACCTTGTTTCTCTTCCATGGAACACTGGATGGGGTGTTTATACACAAAGCAGATATTGGTTTGGATTTTTGAGTCAGGGATTTTTCCAGGGGTAGCYTGAGGATAATTCTGATAGGGTTTTTTTTCTGGAAGCTAGAGGGTTAAAACCATGGTCAGATCCTGACCCATCTGCATCCAGCAACGCTCATGGTGGATCCTGACTCATCTACCTTATCGAGGATCTGTTCTTGTATTAATATTTCCTTGTGCCTGATTGTGTTCTCCACTTGGTCAGATTTGTACTTAGAATTCCCTGCTCTTTACCTTGCTCTGTGTACCCTGATCTGCCYTAAACCCAGTTGTTAGTTTGTGACTATGTGGCAGGTATTATTCTTTTTTCCTCTCGCTTTTTCTGGGTGGTTCTTCCATTCTTGCTTATCTGAGGCTTGTAGGCTCATCCACAAAGTAGATTTTTATGGGGCTGGTAATTTTTTAGGTATTTGAGGGGTAGAGGTCCTCTGGTCTTCTGGTTCTCCCATGATAATAAAAGAAATCTTCTGCACAAAGATGCAACAGTGTCTTTTTTAGACTTTTTATATGATTTAAGAGATAAAAGCAAGAAAGCCTGAAGCCACCTCCTTGTCTCAAAAATTATGCCATTGCTTAACCTAAAATGTTCCATTAAGTTTCTGAGATGTGTGCAAAGTTTTATAGGAGGAACTTTTTTCTCTTTTTCCTCAAACCGAAAAGTAGTTTCAAACTGAGGAAAAATAAAAACATTTTCTTTGGGAAATTGAGGAATAATTGATTGTGCCTTTTCATGGTTCCAGCTGTTCAATATGAACACATAATGGTAAGAGGAAAAAGCAGCCCAAAGGAGAAGTTTAATGGCTGAGGCAGAATTTTATGTTTGGAGCTAAGTGTGTGAAGAAAAGTAATGAGAGGGYGAAACAAAACAGAATTCTCTGTGGGTGTAAGAAAAAATAAAACTAGACTGTGGCTCTTTGCCTGCATGGGACTGTGAGGATGCTGCAATTATTTCCTATTGAAACCACTAGTTATATTGTTTAAAATTTTGTAGGGATGTGAATGAAGGGGAGAAATGGCACCATCCTGCAAGCATATCTTCCYATTTAATTATTTGTCCTTTGTTTTAATCTTATACATTCAAGATGCATCATCTGCTCAGTCTGGTTTTGTGTGCCAAAGATAAAGGGAGACCTGTGACCTGAGAACATTTCCAAAACATAATCATCGTTGTCCTTTAGAAGTGAAAAGGTGTGTTTCTCTCTGGAATTGTGAAAGAGATTTTACACTTTTTTGAAGGTTATCTTTGGGGTAGTGAGAAAAAGAGATCGTTGATGTTCTGGGATTTGGCCTTTTTTAAAAGTCTACCTGAAAGTAAAGAAGAAAGGCTACAGATTTGTATTCACTTCATGAAAGTTTGACAGAGACACAACTGTCTTACCAGATTTTAGGGGAGACAGGCTGGAATGGAAATAATGAAGGAGACAGTGAGGATCACTTGCTGAGCAGCCTATACAGCTGTAGTGAATGTTTGTCTATGCCATGTTTGACTCATAGACACTGCTTTCCACAAAACCTTTGGCTTGGAGTTTACATGCAGTGCCTGCCTTTTACAAAAGTCCAAATGTGCTCCCTGGAAATCAGTCTCCAGTAGACTTTTAAGGACAGATGGGTTGACAAAATGTGCTTGGATGGATTCTGTCCATCTCATCAGCCAATTTGTGAACATGGCCTGGCCTTCTTACCATGCCTGTTGTCATCCCCATTGTGTTGGGAAGGAGGCCATGTTAGCATAAATCACTAGAAACAAACMTTGGATAGCACCTGGCTAAAATCACTGTGGCGTAACACTAAAAACCAGTTTTGTTGGTGTTTCCTCATTTTGTGACCTGTGGTTGGTGTGTACGTATTAATGTAGTAGAAACTT